GTCATATGACACCCTCCTAGGACTGGACTACTACGCTCTAGCTGTCATTCGGCTATAGTGAGATAGTAAAGTGGTTAAAGATCTTGATGAGCAAGTCATGTTTTTAGGAAAACAAAATCCACCAAAAACATACCAATGAGACTAGGCAGGAATCTGCAGCAGTTATTACTGGACCAGAAATAAAAAAAGACAGAGAGAAAGGAAACTTAACCACTTGCCCTCCAGGGGATTTACCCCCTTCCTGACCAGGCCATTTTTTGTGTTATGGCGCTGCGTTACTTTAACTTTTACTTTAGCGCAGTCATGCAATGCTGCACCCAAATTAAATTTACGGCCTTTTTTCCCCACAAATAGAGCTTTCTTTTAGTGGTATTTGATCGCCTGTGCTTTTTTTATTTTTTGTTCTATAATAAAAAAAAGTCCCAACAATTTTGAGAAAAACAATATTTTTGGCATTTTGCTATTACACATGTCCAGTAAAAAAAAAATGTAAAAATCAAGTTCCCTCATAAATTTAGACCAAAATGTATTCTGCTACATGTCTTTGCTAAAAAAAAACGTGTAAATTAATTGGTTTATGTGAAAGTTATAGCATTTACAAATGGCGGTATATATACTGGGATTTTTTTTTACTAGTAATGGCGGCGATCAGCGACTTATTGCGGGACTGCGGCAGGCATTCTGACATTGGGGGGAACTGACTTGGTGTCACTGACATCCCCAGTGATACCAATACAGTGATCAGTGCTAATAAAAAGCACTGACACTGTACTAATGGCACTGGGCAGGAAGGGGTTAATATGTGGGGTGATCAAAGGGTTAGCTGTGTGTGTTCTTCAATAAACACACTGCTTTGTATGGCTGTGCTATGCATAGTCATGAAAAATAGTGTGCAGGAGCTGACAAGGGAGATAACTATATTGTTTACAAAACAATCCCCCCCCCACCCATCGGATATGCTCGACAATCACCGGCCGGGACCCGGTGATTGACAGCCGAGGCTGCGAATGGTGGCACGCCCCCTACCCGTTACTGCAAAATCACGTATATATACGTGATTTTGCGCACCCTTGCCGCCCAGTAGCAGTACTTCTGCTATAGGGAGGATGGGAAGCGGTTAAAGAACTATAGGTAAGATATGATGCAGTTTGTCACTAGCAGCAATATAGTTTTACTATCTGTTTATCTTTCCAGTAGAGTTGTTATTTTTCCACATAAGGTAATAGAGTGACAACAGTGTTCTTTCTGAGTTGAAATTGTGCAGTAGCATTGTTACCCTGTGTAGACTTAGATGGATCTGTAGTTTTAAATGGATATTAAAATGTTAGTAAACCCTGAGAAAAAAAATTTGTGCTCCTGCAAAGTAATGGCATAATGTGCTAGCATGCATTGCATACTAGCACATTATGAAAGACTTACCGTACCTATAAAACAAAGCCCTCCAGCAATATGCTGTCCTGGTGACAGGTCTTCCTTCTGGGTTCACAACACTCCACCTTAATCTTTCACCTCTATGTTACATCCAGGGGTCATGCAATAATGACTTGCTTAGTAAATTTCCCATTGTATGCACTATATAATAATCATAATAATTATCCAGTTTGTTAAAGAATAATTCCAGGCATTGGTATGTTGCACACAGTTACATGGGTCCAGCTTGGATCAATGTAGCTATGTATATACTATACCTGGCCAATGCCCCTGGAAGTTGGAAATCAGTAGACACTGCTCCTCCAGTGATCTCCGCTTACTTCCAGGTTCTGTACCAAGCGGCTGCTCGTCTGCATTGTGAACACAGGAGATCAGCTGCTTGACACAGATGCCATTTGAGAATGCTTTGCATTGCATTTTCTGAATGAAAGCAAAGTGTTCTCTGATTGGATAAGGTGGAGAATATGACATCACTGACCTGGCTGTCCATGATTCTTTTAAATACTTTTGAAGTCCATTCATCTTGCCCTTACTTTAAATGATGAAAGCCAAAGTGGGTAGTGTCACAGGAAAACCTGTGTAACAAACTGCACCCACCCCCAGGAAAATATCACCTGTTGTTTAAATAGCTGTGATGAGCCCAATAAGGCTCTCCACTCCCTAATGCAGGCCATAGACAGTTCGTTTATCGGCCGATTTTTCGTCCGAAAGAATAATCGACCTATTTTCGCACTGTTAGTGGGGCAATGGCATCGGCTTGTTTTTGCGGTTCCTCCTCATTTCTTTTATCGGTTATGCTGGAAAATTTATGAAAAATGGACGATTTTCGCAATTATTGGTGGCAACAGAACGACCGATGTTTCGTTTTTTGACGAAAAATCGGCCGATAAACGAACAGTCTATGGCCTGCATTAGTCTAAGTTCACACCTATGCATTTTCTGTTGGGACACATTCACATCTCCACGTTTTCACCCAGTGCATTTTTTAGAAAGGGTCAGGAACTTGTTTAAATGCAAAACGTTACGTTTTTGGTTCAGTAGACTTCAGTGGAGACGCTGCAGAAATGCATATAGTTTTTATGTGTTTTTGATGCATTTTAATCTGACCAGTAACAAGTTGGAAAACAATAAACCACGCAAAACGCATCAAAAACGCATATGCAAAAACGCAAAATGCACTGCAGAAACTGATCAGACGCAAACTGCATAGGCGTGAACCTAGCCTTAGAGATTGTCAGAGCCTGATTAGGATTGTGTGAGTGTGATGAAAAAAAAAAAAACATGAAATCCTAACAAATGATAAATAATTTACAAACAATGAAAAAGCAATATGGATATAATAATATTTAAAAGCGGGCAACCCAGAATAAAAAAGCAGTCCAAAAGCTGCTGTAACTAAGAGGGTACTGCTGCTGAGCTGTGTGGGCTGATGCTGCAGACATGTGTAAAACAAGAAAGGAGAGAGAGGAGCGCACACCTCTTTGAAACGTGCCCCTGTATTTTGGAGTACACAACTGTGAGAACTGGAGGCTTTCGGCTGTTGGACTCCAGACCTTGCAGCAGCTCCACCCATTTCTGCCAGCAGTGTAATTTCCACTTAAGCCCATGCCTTCCTTATCCAGTGGCCAAGGCGGGGATCTGGGATAACTCTAGGACAGGGACAATCCTCTATATCCCACAGTTGTTTGTGAGTGCAACTATTGATTTTATTTTGTCCATTAAAATTCCTTATGCATGCTACACTATGGGGTGTGCGTTACTCTCTCTCCTTTCTTGTTTTACTTTAAATAATGATGTCAAATGACAATTGATGTCACACCATGCAATGACCAATGGTTCCTCCTCATCCCCTCCTAACAATATCTTAATGTCATAGAAACATGAAGACTGACAACAGAAAAAAAAGTCTGTTTGCTATAGAACTATGCTAAAGGTTCTTTTTTTTGTTTTGTTTTTTAATAACAAATATATACTTACTGTACCTGCACTGGTTTTGCATAGAACAGCCCCAATCTTCACCTTCTTGGGTCCCCTGATAGTGCTCCTGGCTCCTCGCCCTTGCTGAGCGCCCCCAGAACACACTGCTTGCTGTGGGGGGCACTTGTGCCTACTAAATCAGATTTTGAACTTTGTGTGAAACGTATTGAGAATACCTATAAACAAGAAATCTCTAATTTAAGCAAGATATGTGTGTGCGTATGGAAGAGATTGAAAATACCGCTGACAGCCTATGCAATGCTTTATAATCCCATGAAGAGACCCTTAACTCTCATACAGTCTTATAACAACAACTTATGTACCAACAAGATGATATTGAGAACAGGAACTGCCGTAATAACATACGGATCAGGGCCGTACCAGAGGCCAGTGAATCTAAGGACTTAGTCGCAGCGGTTACCGCCATCTTCAACCAGTTGCTGCAGCAGCCCAAAGACACCTATATTGAGCTGAACAGCATGCATCGTACTTGAGACCCCAGGAACTCTGATCCTTCCTTTGCTTGTGATATCTTATGCAGGGTCCACTACTTCAAGGTCAAAGATGCCAACACGCAGGATACCATCTTGTTTAATGAAGTGCTAGTGATGCTTCTCCCTGACCTTTCCCACCAGACTTTAAACATGCGCAGGGCCCTGCGACCTCTTACTCAGCTGATCCAAGAAATACCTATCCGCTACCAGTGGTGGTTCCCTTTCCAACTCAGAGTTTCACAGAATGGTAAATCTGCACAGTTCTGCACCTTCGGGGACTTGCCCACGTTTCTTGGCACTTTTGAACTGCCCCAGGTGTCCCTCCCGGACTGGCCCTTCCAACTCCCGACTCCCGGTCTCCCATTTTCCTCATCCTGGCAGCGGTCTGATATCGGAAGAAGCGTTCCAGATCCTCCTCCCAGAAGTTCCCAGAGGACTGATCTCCTACATACATAACTTGGAAGATCTCTCCCATTTTCTTCCTCAAAGTTTGTAACTCCCCGGACCTATACTCATAGTATCTGGTCCCGGGAAGTCCTGCTGGTTCCTTGCTCTTGATTCCATTGAATGCACACTAATACAGTAGTTATTTTCATTTAATATGTGATTTTGATTTGTGCTTGTTTTCACTTATACCTTGCGGTTGTGGCCTTGGGTTGGTTCCCGTATCCCACCTTGGTGTTTCCCGGGGGACGGTCGGGGGCGCCTCTGGCCATAGTCACAAGAGCTCTGGGCCTCCCCTCTGTATGATCCCTCCATTTTGTATGGGGGATCCCACATGGAAGAAAACTATATTTGAAATATATTTTAAAAATATTCTTCCCAAATATATTGTCATACATTTGAAATGCTACAATTTTGCTATATTCAATATATTTAAAAATATACTTCAATAAAAAAAAAAAAAAATATATATATATATATATATATATATATATATATATATATGTAACGGAAGCATAGGCAGGACAGAGCACACGGAGAAGATGGGGAACACACAAAACTTTATTGAAGCAACAAATTGACAGACACTCAATAGGGAAATGGCAGGGAGGGTGATGTGTGCGCAATCCAGGGACTATTCCAGGCACGGGGGGGTCTTCAGCGGCAGGCAGGCAATACCCCCCCCCCTAGGCTTGGGGCCTCAGCCGAGCTCCCTCCGTGACTGGACAGCGGATTAGAGACTCGGGCAACAGGCGGCAACCTACCACTGGGCAGGGGCCTCAGGCAACAGGCGGCAACCTACCACTGGGCAGGGGCCTCGGGCAACAGGTGGCAGCCTACCACTGGGCAGGGGCCTTGGGCAACAGGCGGCAATCTACCACTGGGCAGGGGCCTCGGGCAACAGGCGGCAACCTACCACTGGGCAGGGGCCTCGGGCAACAGGCGGCAACCTACCCCTGGGCAGGGGCCTCGGGCAACAGGCGGCAACCTACCACTGGGCAGGGGCTCGGGCAAAAGGCGGCAACCTACCACTGGGCAGGGGCACCACAGGTAGCTATACTCCGGGCATGCCATCAGGACATGGGTGGTCAGTGCACACACAGCGGGGCAGTTCGGACACGAGTGGTCGGTGCACACACCGGGTACAGTTCAGAACACGGGTGGTCGGTGCACACACCAGGCACAGTTCAGTACACAGGTGGTCATGCGCACAACGGGGACGGTTCAGGACACGGGTGGTCGGTGCATACAGCGGGGACAGTTCAGAACACGGGTGGTCGGTGCGCACAGC